TGTTGGCAGCAAGCCCTATTGGGTAACATAAAACGTCCTTTGATGCACTGAGTACTGTCATGGTTTAACCCCAGCTGGCAACTAAGCCCTGCACAGCCACTCGCTCACTCCTCCCACATCAGGATAGGGAAGAGAGTTGGAAGAGTAAGTGAGAAAACTCTTGGGTTGAGATAGAGACAGTTTAATAGGTAAAACAAAACAAGGAATTAATTCATGGGCAGGTAGGTGTTCAGCCATCTCCAGGAAAGCAGGGCTCCATCATATGTAACGGTGACTTCGGCAGACAAACGCCATCACTCCAGACATTCCCCCTTCCTCCTTTCTTCCCCAACTTTATATGCTGAGCATGATGACATATGCTATGGGACATCCCTTTGGTCAGTCAGGGTCAGCTGTCCCAGCTGTGTCCCCTCCCAACTCCTTGTGCCCCCCCCAGCCTCCTCGCTGGTGGGGTGGGGTGAGAACCAGAAAAGCCTTGACTGTGTGCAAGCACTGCTCAGCAGTAACGAAAACATCCCTGTGTTATCAACACTGTTTTCAGCACAAGTCCACAACATAGCCCCATACCAGCTCCTATGAAGAAAACTAACTCTATCCCAGCCAAAACCAGCATAGTACAGAACTGTAAAACGTAGTTCATATCATTCAGTGTCATTCATTCGTGTGCATCCTCAAGGGAAGGTGGTGGCCCAGGAACCTTGTGGTTTTGGTATCTGGGTGCTTCAGATATGCTTGGTTTTGGAATGGGGAAGTCAGAGTAATCAAACTTATGAGCAGCAACAAAGGGCAAGTTAACACCTTTAAAGGACAATGCAGTTAATGAAGAGGAGAAATAACAGTTTCAAAAGCTGAAGTAAGAGTGTGTCACAGGGAAGTAGAACATAGCTATGGTCAGGAACAAGTATGAAGCAACAGCTGGGGAATTTTTGTTTTGATACGGGGTGTCTCTGAACAAAATATGATCAAGGCTTGTTCTAACCAGGCTTAAGCACCAAAGTGGAGTTACCCCCACCATTTTTTTCTCCCCTGTTTTCACACTACACATCAGGAACCTCATTTGTCATTCCCATCATAGTGTATGTCTACTTCAGATGTAAGTCCTAACACATGAGCCAATTGCCTCCCTGGCCATGGAAAGTCTCCATGAGCTACAAAGGTATGTATAAAAACATGCTTCCTTTATGCTGCATACTAACTAGGCTCTTGAATCAGCAGAGTAATCCACCACTGATTTATCTACAGTATGTGCTTAGGAACTACTGAATGTAAAATTCAGTAAGTTTACAGAGCAAGGACAAAAGTATGCCCTCCCCTTAAATACATTTGAGTTACCTTTCTTTCCAAAGCTTATCACTGTAGCAGCGTTTCTTGCACTGTGTGGCAGAAATATCTGTGGGGCAATGTCACTCAAGACTCTTGAAACTGAAGAAACAAAGTTCTACACAGTATATATACTGATACTCTGTAGAAAATAAGACAAATTCTTAAAAGACAAAGAAGTCTAGAAGTTTAGATGACAAAGTGAAAAAGTGAGAAAAAAGCTGAAGTTTTGGCTGAAGAAAGACATGGCACTGATAATAGTTAGTGATAGCTAAAATACCCATTGCTGTGATTAAAAAATGTAGCTTACAGGTACTTTTATAAGCCCAAGTGTGTCGGTAACTAAAGATGATTCATATACAATGTGTTGCAAAGTAATTAACAACTGCATTGTTTTAACATAACTATGGCCTACTTCCACAGATGTTTGTCATATGTTAAGCTGGACTTCTATTTCCCTTTACTGGGCACAGTGCAGACCCTTTCTGCAATACCTAAGTTGAGCTAGACTGCACAGTGCTTGCTTAATTTTCTCTGAGATACACAACTTTGTACTATGCAAGAAGAGCCGTTATTATAAATCACAGGGTATGAGAAACTTCAAAATGAGGAAAATACATACATAATGGATTTATTGTGTAGAGTTTTGGTTACATAAGCATAGTACAACACACTTCAAATTATTCTAAACTATATGTGGGAGCAAGGCTTTGGGATGCTGGCTTCCAAAAGTCTTAAGTTTCAGGGTAAAGCCTCTGACCCCTTGAGGCCAGTGATAAAAATCATGGATTTCAATAAGGCCTGCATTTCCCTTCAGATCTCTTCACCCCATTCTCACCAGCTGCTGCTCTGTCACAACCCACAGAGAAAAAATGTAAAGAACTCTCTCATTATAACCTACCTGTGCATCAGCCTTCAGTAAGAAAAAGATGTTACTAGATTAGACTGTCACAGTTTCTTTTTTAACTTTACAGAAATGAGGACAAGTTGAAAAGCAGACATAATATGTCTCTTCAAAGAGAAAATTAAGGACAACGTGATATTTTTTTCAATAAGCAAAAAAATATTATCTTGCTGAATATATTTACTGGTAGTAGATGGGACCCTTTTTCACACTGAAACTGGAAAAATTCATTTTTGTTGACAGCTTAGCTAATACTTCAAAAGATTTTTCACTGATGACATGAAATAAGCTTGTTGTTAATTTCATAAATCATGGATATTAAAAAAAAATACCCTTCTCTGTGCTTGGTCACAAACCAAAATATTAGGGAAAGATGTACTCCCATTGTGCAAATCTGAATCTTTTGCGATCTTTTCTTTGACTCAAAAATTTTGGCACGAAAATAATTGGAAAATAATGTGATCTGGATGGTTCAGATATACTATGTTATGTTAAAATTCTCAAAATTACACTGAAAATCCCAACAAGAAAATTTACATAACAAAGAATAGAGAGCTTCTAATATTCTATTTCATTTTTAATTAGAAAATTACCATTGTTGATGGAACATCCATGCACACCTTCTTGCTAGATTTATTAAAATCCAGTTAGCTCACAAGTTTCTTAGCATATTTACAGTCCATGCAAAAATATTTAAATACAAGAATTACAGATTTGAACTGTTAACTTGTAAGTCCACAAATAAACATGTTGTCTACTGTGATAGTAGTGTCACTTAGAAGCTGTATTTTGATCATGTATTATTATAACACATTTTCTTTAAATTTATTTAGTTTCCTATTTTGGTGTTTTAAAATGGTTTTATTCAATAAGCCAGAATAGGTACAAAAATCAAAGCAATCAATTGCTTAGTGCATATGATCCCAGAAGTAGTTTCATTTCCTCCACAGAAAAATTATTCCTCTCCTTTCTCTATCCACAAGGCCAAAATCTTATTAAATGTCCTGTTTTCCTTGTATGAGGGGGTTCTGTTGCAGTGGAGAGATGGTGGTATGGCTTCTCCAAATCTGCATCTAGGAGGTGTATTGCTGAAAAAAATCAGACTCTTAATCTAAGATTTTAACGACATGGAGAAGTCACCTATTAAAATGGCACCTGCATTTCTTATCTTGGGAAAAGTAATCTGCCTTTATCTTAGTTTTTTATGGACACTGTTGCAAAGAGTTACTGTGTTTCCTCATAGATTTGTGGCTTTGAACAAGCCTCTTGACAACTGTTTCCTTGTGTGTTTGCACTGATTTTCAGGATTGCTCAATAATGTCTGCTAAATTCAATAACAGCAATAAATAGCTGTTCCCTTTTATCAGCATGTTTGACAAATCTTGTTTGCACTTTTTTGCTCAAAGAGCTAGAGATGAAAAAAGTTTTGTTTTTCACTGATGGCAGTAAAAAATAAAGGGATGTGTATGCAGGACTCTCATTTGGATGTGCAAAACTGGAGGCTATTTGTAGTAGTACACACAGGGACAAATTTGTGCCAGTTTTGGATCACAGGTTTTTTCCCCACTTTGATGTGAAGTAGATAGAAAGGAAGATCCATCCACAAGAAGTGGGACAGGAAAGTCATTCAATGAGTTGCAGATACCTGAAATGATACCTATACTTCTGCATAGGTTCCACAGTTCTGCGGGGAGGCATAACACCTTTATGACCCACTTATACCTTGGTCCCAGGCTGTTCTGGAGTTTAAAATGGCTGCTTTTGTCATATAAATAAATGAAACAGAGGCAAAGAAGCTCTTGCTTAAAATGCTTTGGGTGCGTTTTGCACATTTGCCCTTTCTCTGTAAGCCTGATCCATTGGCCAGTCTTTTGGCAGTCATCTAAAGAGCCCTGCCTGGAACAGTTTCTGGCAGAGGAAATCTGTGACTGGCATACAAAGGCACAAAGGAAGGAATATGAAAGGTACATATGTTTAAATATCAATTATTTTGGTTTAATGCAAACAACTGTGACAAGACGATGACAACAAAAAGCACCAGACTTCATACATATCCATACTTTAAACTATGCTTCCCCAGTGTTTTAATGGGTGATATGCAAATCCTCTATCATTGTTTTCAACAAAATAATTGTGTAATTACTTTGTCAGGCTTCATTCATAAGATTACACAATGAGTTCTTTCAAATTAAAATGGAGAAGTGGTGATTAGCTGCTTCTCTGTCATCACCTTTTCCTTGATGAAAACAGATTGTGTTGATGGAAGGTCAGACCAAAGAGGCTGTAGACTGAACTCCAATAATTAGACACTGGATGGGTGTGAATATTTGCTGCTCTGCTCATCTGTCTTGCATAGGACTGCTTAAACCACAAGAGTGGTTCCTCCTCTAGAGAGCTGCCCTCTCTGGGACATTTTTGATGGTTCCATTGGGAAAGGGTCTGGTTAGTCACAGCTTCTGCAATGGTTTCCCATTATGTCAACCTATTTCCTGGAAATGCAGGTCCTTAGGAAGTGGTCAGAAAGGATTTCTCACTGAATTTCCTTAGAATTGATTCTAGGCAGGTGAAAAGTAACAATATTCTGAGTCTGGGAGTTTCTGAGGTGAGACTGAAGCTCTTCAAAATTCCAACATTGATGTATTTATTGGAATAGTTTTATATTGCTGGGCTGAGTTGTAGCATTCCTTGTGCTATGTGTTTATGTAAAAGGGAAAGCTTAGAAAAGAAGTAACCTTGTTTCTGGTCCTCATGGTCCAGTTTTCACTTTCTTCTACTTTCATCCGCTGATCTGCTGAGGGCTGATACAGCAACCAATCTTTGAACTGGTTTTCACAATATTAATCACATTTTCCTTCTCTCTGTCATATTTATAGGCTTTTGGACCAGAAAAGAAGTAAATAAATACTTAAAAATAAGAAAAAGGAAAAAGGAAGTGTTCATTAGAGGAACTAGCTCATTCTAAGGGCTCTGTTGCAATAGTTTGCAGCTACATATGCATGTTACATAGTGATCATAAAATCTGAGTGACTTAATACAAGTCCATATTTCCAGGCTTGTTTTCTAGCAGCTTTTTACGTTATAGAGCTGTAACATGCCTCATAGAGTTTTAAAAACACAGAATTAGTGTATAATGCTAAATTACTAGTGATAAGTTTTAGGTCTGGGGATGCTAAATTTTGGGAGTCACATTCAAGAACAAGTTCACACCCACACAGTTGTTTGTTTTATTACATCAGGGTCTAGTATAGGATTCTCACATTTGGGGTAGCAGCCTCAAAGGTGCAGGGGACTTACATGCTGAACTGCCCACTCATAAGTACATAGGGAAATCTGATGTGCAGTGTCCCAGATGCCTTCCAGGTGCATCTCCAGAGAGACATGGGCCCTCATTTGTTTTGTGTGACGTCTCCCTGTTGTGTGTGGATGTCTTGGGTACCTGAGTCTTTGACATTAAGTAGTCAGCACTATGCATGTAAATGTAGATGACTGGATCTTGCCCCAGGTGTTTGACTTCTGAACAGCTAGTGCTTGATGCAGCTGTCTAAACGTAAGCATCAAGTGCTATTTGAAAGACCCTAGAATAAACTACCTGGCCCTCAGGTGCCTGTCCAGAGGGCATGACCTTACCATATATCCTGACTCATATCTACCAGCCCCATACAGGTGTTTTGGATACCCTCAGGCCTCTCATATGGCAACTGAATTTCTAAAGTTAGACAGGATGAACTTAACCTTCATGATCAAACCAGTTTCTAGCCTGATTTAAGAGAGCTCTATAGTCTACTTTGAAAGCAGTGTAGTTCAAAGACAGCCGAGTCAGCTTTAAACTGAATTGCTTGGGTGCCATTAAAAGTGTGAGTAGCTTGAAGCTTACTGTAGCTAAGGATTTACCCTGTTCCTATGGTCTGTGCTTCGTGCTGCTGCAAATCTAGGCTGTTCTTGAGGTGCTTTATCTAAACTTAGCTTGAATGTCAGTGATATGTTTCAGACAGAATAGACAAATTCACTCTCATGCATCTTTAACTTGCTGTCATGAAGAAAAATCTTGGTGAAGAATTTCTGGGATTGAACCCCATGCTTGCCACATCCTGTCTGCATTCATGAAATGCTCCTACTGCTATCTGTAGGGTAGAATGTCTATTGGCAAATCCACATGTATGTATCTGTTGTTGAGTCACTGAGAAGGGTTTCACAATCATCTCTAGACAGAGCTCCCAGAAGCAGTTCCTGCTGTTGGAGAGTATGAGATGTGAGCCCCAGTGAGCACCATTTGCTGTGGACTAATACATCTGAACATCTGCAGAACATGTTTTGTGTTGAATGCATGTCAGTAGCTATTGCTACCTGCCACAGGAAAAACTGTTTTCCTGGCTGTTACGAGCTCTCTTTTCAGTTTTCTTATGCTCCAGACAAGTTACTTATATTTTGAAAAAAAGATCTTTCTGCTCTCAACTGTTTAATAACGAAATTACTTTTTCTGAAAAAAAAGGTTGTTTATTTTATAGGGACTTTGTTACCTATTTAGAATCATAGAATCATTTCGGTTGGAAAGGACCCTTAAGATCATTGAGTCCAATTGTTAACCTAACACTGCCAAGTCCACCACTAAAACATGTCCCTAAGCACCACATCTACAGGTCTTTTAAATACCTCCAGGGATGGTGACTCCACCACTTCCCTGGGCAGCCTGTTCCAATGCTTGACAACCCTTTTGGTGAAGAAATTTTCCCTAATATCCAATCTAAACCTCCCCTGGTGAAACTTGAGGCTATTTTCTCTTGTCCTATCACTTGTTACCTGGGAGAAGAGACTGACCCCCACCTCATTACAACCTCCTTTATTCATTGCAGTGATGGTCATCACCCCAGCAGTATGCCTCAGAGACTCAGCTTACACCATTAGCGAATATTGAACTCTGTCTTACCCCAACTCTGTTTTTAGCAATACTTGAGCTGTTGACATGTAGTGTCCAAAGGTAGCACAGGCTGGGCTATCTGGCCTGCGCTAACTGTAGCACATTGATACGTTCATTGTCAACCAACTCAAATTCATTGTCAAATCAATTCTAAAATACTGATGTCAGTACAAACTAACAACTCCACTTGTTATTAACATTTGTGGGTTCAAAGTGGGCCACTCCCTTCTTTGTTATGGTAGGTCTTACGCCAAAATAAACATAGAATAGAATAGAATAGAATAGAACAGAACAGAATAGTTCAGTTGGGAGGGACCTACAACAATCATCTAGTCCAACTGCCTGACCACTTCAGGGCTGACAAAAAGTTACAACATGTTATTAAAGGCATTGTCCAAATGTGTCTTAAACACTGACAGGCTTGGGGCATCGACCACCTCTCTAGGAAGCCTGTTCCAATGTTTGACCACCCTCTTGGTAAAGAAATGCTTCCTAATGTCCAGTCTGAACTTCCCCTGGCACAGCTTTGAACCATTCCCATGCGTCCTGTCACTGGATCCCAGGCAGAAGAGATCAGCACCTCCCTCTCCACTTCCCCTTCTCAGGAAGCTGTAGAGAGCAATGAGGTCACCCCCTCAGCCTCCTTTTCTCCACACTGGACAAACCCAGAGTCCTCAGCTGCTCCTCACAGAGCATGCCTTCCAACCCTTCCACCAGCTTTGTTGTTTTCCTTGGACCTCCTCTTGCTATTGACATACTTTAAAAAGCCTTTCTTGTTGTCTGACACAACACTAGTGAGTTTCAACTTTAGTTGAGCTTTGGTTTTCATGTCTTCTCCCTGCATATGTGAACCACACCTCTGTAGTCTTCCTGTGAAGCCTGACCTTGCTTCCAGAGATCATACAATTTCTTTTTCCTCTTGAGCTCCATGAGGAGTTCCTTGTTCAGCCAAGCTGGTCTTCTGCCCTGCTTACTTGACTTATGATGAAATGGAATTGCCTGTTCCCATGCTTGTAACAGGTGGTTCTTAAAAACTGACCTGCACTCATAGAATCCTAAGCCCCCAGAAGCAGATTCCCAGGGGACACTGCTAAGTAGCTTCCTAGGCAGCTTAAAGTTTGCTCTCTTGAAATCCAGGATAGCAATGCTGCTGCCCTTTTTTTCTCATTACACTGAAGATTTTAAACTCAACCATTTTGTGATCACTATGGCCAAGAAAGCCACCTACCATCACATCTCCCATTGAGTCCTTCTATATTCACAAATAGAAAGTCTAGGAGGGCACCTTTCCTAGTTGGCTCATTGAGTACTTGTGACAAGACATTATCTTCAACAAACTTCAGGAATTTCCGAGTCTTGCTTGTCACAGCAGTATGGTATTCCTATAAAGTCTATATTTGGGATTCAAATCTTTCCTGCTGGAGCTATAATTGTATGAGATTTTCAAGTCATTTTTCAGGATTCAGAAAGGTAATTTTTTACTTGTGCAATAAACATGTATACGAAGTTTCCCAGCTGAAACCTCAAAGGTTTTGTGTGCTGTGGCTTTTTCAGCAGAAAACTGAAAAGATAGAGTTTAAATCTAACATGGAGAAAAATGCTAAACTAAATGCAGAATTATATCTTGTGGTTTGATATCATCTGATGATTTCATGGCTTGGATGTGGAGCTGATACGTTGCAGAGTCTTTGTTAAAGCAGCTGGACAGGAAATTTCATTCAGCTTCATCACAGAGAGAAATCAATAAAAATTCTATTTTTGGGAACAGACATTGTGCTTATATTAACTTCTTTACTTCCACAGAGGACAGACTGGCAGGATCAAGCCTGTTTGCTGTGTAGTTAAATAGACATTATTCACTTCCAGTGCTGCCTCTACTTTGCTACTGATTGCTCTGAACTCTTTATGAATACTTTTTGGATGGTCTTTTCCCATCTTTCTTTTCATCATAGCTTTGAAAAAGAAAAATTATTATAAATGGACCAGTGTTAATGCTAGTTTTTTCATACTTTTAAAAAATGTATTTGGAATGGCAAGACTTCTTCACTGCAATCAAAAAATGAGATCTAAATAGTGCCTTTGATAGAGAACTTCGAATACGTGATAACAGAAAGTGGGCAGAGGCAGCTCTTTTCAACCTATTGGTGGTGTATAAGGAGCAATAAGATAATGAACAACCCCTTCCTGCCTCTTTCTGCTGTCTCTCCCTCAGGAAAACATGCAACCCTTACACTTGTTCACTCCCAGTAGCCTTGCTGTGGCTAACTAACCTTTACTCCTCACCCATGCAATTGGTGTCAGACAATTTCACTTGGTTGTGCAGTTTACATAATATAGTCTGCATGGATGCAGTTAGACAGCCTCATACCTTAAAAAAATTGGACTACATAGGCCAGAAAAGGAAATGTTTGAAGACTTTGGTTAAATGTGCTAAGTTGAAAGTCTATAGAGAGCCACAGGAAACTGTTTGATTTTAAAAGAGAGCTATAGAAACTGCGAATAAGAAACGTCATTAGATTTAGGATAATGGAAATTTTCCAAGACTGGTAGAAAAGGCTCATGAAAACCAACCCATGGTTGGTTTTCTCTAAGATTAGCATCCCACTGTCAAGTCAATAAAATGCAAAATCAAATTAAAAGCTTTCATGCTACTTTTAATGTTAGTCTTCAAGGAAAGTTGGATGCTCTCTATAGCAACTTTGCTAAGTACTATCTACAGTAGTACAGACAATTGGTTTAGTTCCATCCATATTTATTTTATTACCCATGCCTATGCCAAAAAATACATATGCTCTGTATTCACCAAGTCAAATGAATTTAATACATCCTATGAAGATTTTTATAGCTTTTCTGAATGTGGTTTCTTTAGAATGAATCAATGTGTTTGCTCAGTGGTTTGAACAGCTGTAATAATATTGCATTCACTCTGCATCCTTATTTCATTTGCTTAGTAAGCATGAGCTGATTTTAAGATAGGCAGGTCAGAATTTTCCAGAAAACTTTTCTTGTAAAAGTCGTGGATTGTATTTCTTTTTAGTAACTACATCTTTCTTAAATTTTCAGTTACCATTTTTTTCCCCATTTTATTAGGAAAAGCAAAGAAGGCAAAATTATTTAGACAGGTAAGAAAAAACCAATATGTTAGATAAGAGAGGTAAATAATCAAAATTGTCTATGAAGGCAAAGATGTGAAAATATTTCATTGTTTTTTCACTGATTCCTCTTATCATTTTACCAATTTTAAGCTAATTTTATTCTTTATTTCCTGAACTATTGTTAAGTATTTCAAATTGCACTTCTACTTAGATGGAGTTAGAAAGTTTTAAGGATGATTAATTCTATTTTAAATGCAGGTTTGATTAGACTGGCTTCTGGGCTGTGTATATTAGTCCCCAGTATCTTCCTGGAGAGACAACAAGCAATAGTGAGGGTGGAAAAGGCGCTCATGGTAAGAAGGGATCTACTACACATACCTAACACATTCTCTGCTGATTAAGGGCCTAGGACTTACGACATCTCTGTGACCTCTCTTGCTCTCTTCTTCTGGTGTGGTTTGGTGTTTACAGAAGATTTTTAGCTGAACAGTTTATTTCAGGACTGTTTTGTGTCTTGTACTATTTGCAAGAATATGAGATAAGTATTTTGTGGATCTTCTAAACATTGACACCTCTGAAACTGGACGAGCCAAGATTTGATGAACCATGCCTATACTTTGTGTTTAAGCATGGCATGAGAGTGTATCTCACTCTGCTTATGAAATTGGCAGCCTTGGGGAGGCTGGAGAAATGGCAGAGCAATCTCTGTTTGGCTTCAGGTCTGTTCAGTGGAGGCACCCTCTAAATTACTATCCAGAGATTAGAGTAAGTCACGGGTCCAGACTGAGTATAATGGGAGTCTTGCGTGAAATACTCTTATGCAGCCATATGCGTTCTAGATGTCTACATTTTGTCAGACATAGCCCACGCTTCCAATGCTTTTAGTTTGTCTGCATTTCCTTAGTGAAAAATAAAATCTTTGTTTTCCTATAGATGTACAGTCCAAAAGGGTCAGATGGTAATGAATGCGTGTGTAATATTCATCACTCTCAAAGAAGAGCATCTCCTTTTCTTTCTTCAGGTAGTCCACTGCATCAATGTGCTGCACTTTTTTGAAAAACCCTAAGTCAGAGATGGTATAAGAGGGGCTCTGTGTTTGAAATCCTTGAGTTACCCAGTAATGAGGGCCTGAAAAAGGAAAGGTGTTATATAAAAATTGTCAGTTTCCTAGCAATTCTTGAATCTAAATTTGAAGGAAAAAGATGCCACTGCTATGATTCAGCACAAAAGAAAATAAAACTGCTACATGATGCAACCAGTGATGGTTTTCCATAGGATCTTATGCCATCAGCACAGACCAGGCTGAGCACTGGTCTTCCTATATATAGCGTTAGCATCTGACAGATGATATCTAAAGCCCTAAAAGGCTTTGGATGTGATTAAAGATGTTTCACTTTCCTATGCAAATTAATAGAAAATAGTTCAAATGCTAAAACACCTCATTTAATGAATTGGGAAATTCTTCATCACTTGATGTCTTTAGATAAAGTCTGGACCCATTTCATTAACAAAGCACAAAATGTAAGGCCTCTTGGGTGGAAGATAAGAAATGCTGGAGAAGTTTGTGGTCTCTGTGTTGCAAAAGGTAAAATGAGATGATGGAGTAGATCCTTCTAGATGTAAATATTCCTGTGTCCCGATCCAATGTCGGGGAAGGCTTCAATATGATCCCAAGAGTGAGATTAAGACACAAACGAGGTCAAATGCCGTATACCCCAAAGAGCTTTTATTATCAAAAGTAGAAAATAGTAGCAATAGGATAGAATGGAAGAAAAGGCAGAAATCAAGCAAGCAGTCAGTATAGAGTTGCAAGGATAGTCACCACCACGGATCCAGTGGCATCCTGTTGGTCCTCAGTCTTCAATTCTTCAGTGATGGGTGCACATCACAGCTTGTCTCCACAGTTTTGTATAGGGCATAGTCTGATGATGCATGCACATACGTACTGTTCATGCACTGCAGGTTTCATCTACCACAGGACCTTCTCTTGATCAACGCCAGAAACCAGTACCCTATCTCAAAGACTACAGTTTCCATGACAATGGTATTTTCCACATTCCTGCATGTTTCCCCCAGCTCCAGCCTGTCCCCTCCCCTGGAGGCCTCAGTGGCCCGATAATCATCCTTATGGACAGAGGAGTGCCCTGCTTAAACAAGCCATCTCTGGGATAAGTGGCTCGAGGTACACAGTTCACAGTTCAGTCTCTCACAGCAAACAATCTTTGAGACAAAGGACTTGAGATAACAATTCAGTCTCTCACAGCTTGTAAATGGCTCCTTCGTTATTAAACCTTTTGGTACCCTAACCTTCACTTAGTGTTCAGTAGTGTTCACTTAAATTCAGTAAGTGTTCTCCTCTTCAGGAATAACTTTTCTATACAGAGCTAGAACTTCTGTGCAAGACATGAAGTCCTACCTCATATATAATTCTTCCTGTGACTCTTTAGGAAAATAGTATATTGTTATAAATTGGAAAAGTGTGGGCAATATGGCTAAAAAGTAACTTAGGAGAAGGCAGAGTTTGGTTTAATTTCCTGTTGTGATTGCTAAAGATAACCTTAAGTGTTGTATCTTTCTCCATCTCCAGCTGACTGATCCACACAAAAAGCCATTGAACTGATATTTAGCTTTAGAGATTCCCACTCTCAGTGTTGGATCTGTACTCTAGTGACCCAAACTAATGATCAAAGCTATGGACAGTTGTGTTCATCTTCCAAGAGACCAGTAGGCTTGAGAGCTTTTTCTTTGCTAAACAGATTTACTCTTTTTCTATTTCTCCCCACCCCCGATATAATTGATCTTTGAAAAAATAAACCAAACCCCTCTCAGGAACTTCATAAGCAGCAACAAGATTTAATATGAGCTGAGGAAAGGAAGGAATGGTCAGTGAGCCTCACAGTGTTGTCGATGGCCCTGCTTTGATGAATGGCACATGGCAGTGACTTCCTTGCCAGCTTCAATTTTGCGTTCCCTTCAAATGAAGAGATTAAAAAAACCTGTCAGAGTTGTAACACTGGGCTAGCAACAAGGAGAACACTAGTGTAGATCATGCCTGAGTCTTTGTCATACCATCAGAAGTAGGTTTTGATGTCAAGTGTGGATTAATCTGTCCTGAGTTTAGCTGTTTGCTTTAGAATGAAACAGCTCATTCCCCAAAAGTGTTTGTTTCTCTGCACTGGCACTAAGGATTAACTTTCATGTAATCACCTGTATAGTAGATATCTATGGTTAAGTGAAAGGGATGTCACCTGCTGATGTCCTGCCTATTCTTCACTATCTGCTGCTAGGATGATCTAGCCCAAGATTCTTCATGACAGATAGATAGTCTGGGGCAACACAAAGTTCAGGTCAAGAAAACATCCTCCTCCATGCTTGAATCTGAACATGTGATGCAAGTGGAACATATGTAAAAGATTGTTTTTACAAGACTTTCATCTGGCAGGCAGAAAACAAATTTATAGGGAATCTATCAAGAAGAGGCTGTAGAAAATCTGCACTAAATTTACTGCAACAAGGACTACTGCCTTGGTCATAGTAAACCCACAGCTACCTTGATGAAGGCTGTGTGGAGTGAGAGGAGGAGCAGAAGAGAGTCAAAGGGCTACAGATTTGCTGAGTGCAGCTTGCCCACGTGCAACTACCACACACACAGCATCTCTGCAGTATGTTGGCTGGATCCTCCTCAAAGTTATATAAATATATGCACACACACATATATATATACATGTGCTCTTGTGTGCATGTGTGTGTGTCTAAAAAGATTCTGTGCAATTTTACTGGGCCAGCTGTCCAAGGTAATCTTGTGTCTGTTCATCCTACCACTAGACAAATGTGTTTCCCATGTGTTTTAAATGAGCAGTAGCAGTCTCCAAAGGATATCCTGCTTTATAATTTCTTCCCCTTTTTTATTGTGGTGTTGTGGCTGCCTATAAGCCACTGTTATGTTGCCTCTTGTGAAATGGCTGCAGCAGGTGCAACTCTGATTCAAATTCTTGTCAAAGTCATCTAAATTCTCTTGTCAGACTGCCAGGCATAATATTAAATGGGAACTAACTAACTGGGCATAAAATTGAAAGGAAGGAGACTAGGTGGGAAGAGCAGAAAGCATTTTGCCTTGTGGACCTCACTGGAAGCTGCTGCACTGGCATCTGTGAGCCTGGAGTTTGAGAGAGACGAATAGATGCTCAGGCTGTGGCTGGTATTAGTAAAATTTGTGGTACCAAAAAAACATTCCCAGGCACTAGATCTCAATCCTCTGTACTGCTAAATTGCTAGAGTGGCTCTTGGGTGGTTTCATTTCGGACCAACCCTCTGAATGGTTCCCAGGCCCTATTCAGAACATGTCATGGGTCAGGGGCGTTTCCAATAACCAGCTTGGGTGTAGCCAACCTATCTCAGAGATTAAGAGAGTTTAATAGTATGGGCATGAGCTGCTTCATACTTGTTGGCATGTCAGAGAATGGTCCCAATTGTATTTTATTTCCTGCTACAGTTGTAGCCTTAGGCTTTAGGCTCCATCTGAAATGCCATCTTACACTTTTCAGTTTTATAGCCTCATCATATCAGTCCTATGATTTGTCTTTGATCTAGTCATATTGGTTATATCTACAGCTGGAGATCAGTCCCCAGCACTGATTAATGCATTAGTCCAGCTACAATCATGTTACCTCTGGTCTGTCAGGGGGTTTTGCAGGTGGTATCTCCTCAGAATGAGAGACTAAGTGGTAATAAAAAACTTAAAAAAAAAATTCCTGCCACAGATCTAGAAGATGACTCACAGGCCACAAAGGAAATGGCAACCAATTTATGAAATCTGGGGCATTTTTCAGTTCCTCATGAAAAATGAAATTTACATAAATTACATTTCATTTTAGGAAGCTTTCTTTGTTTTCCAGAGTATTTTGCTGACAGTCATTTTTGGCAAAGTGCTATTAAGGCACAAGTCCAGTGAAATCCTGCATGACTCCCTACCAGCTCATGGTAGGCTGGGGTGAAGTGTGGCTGCAGTATATGGGATTTCAGTGGACTGTTGCTCCAAAATGGTACAAACATGCTGACTGCTTTAAGTCTGGAAAGCTCAAGGGAAACAGTGATTGCCACAGCTTTAAGCAGAATGCTGATTGATTGTTATCTGAAAGAACTTTAAATTTTTTGCAGAAGAGGTTCTCGGTCCCCTTGGTCCCTGGTTTCACAGTTGCTGAAGTGGCAGGCCAGCAAAGAGGGAGGTGTCCCAGCTCAGCAGAAGAATTAGGGTTTGGGATTTCTGCTGTAAACTTGGGCTGAAATGGACCCAAGCAATCATTTGCCACCCTCTTCTAAGTGATAATTTGATTGATGCTCTCACAGAAAGGGTGTGCATCCATCTTCACCCTCCCGAGCTGCTGAAGTGTCTGCTCAGGAGGTAACAAGTCCGAGTCAAACTGTGTCCTTGATTTCAAAGGAATCCTTGTAATGAGGAATGATCACCTGTCCCAGAGATGAAATATCATTATGTCTCAGAGTGGTTTTTTAGTCGAGGTATTGTAATCCTTTAAAGGCAGAGTCTTCCCCCAGGTATAAGGGAATTTATGACTGACTTCAGTGCAGTCGTGATTTAACCTCTTTGGAAGAAAAAAAGTGTTCATCTCCTTTATCACAGCTGGACAACAGAGTCTTAAGAAAACATACAGTTTTCATCTCTTCCAAAAGCTTATTGCCAACAAAACCCTCAGGTTTCAGCTATTCCAAAATGAAACTATACAAAACATTGAGAAACTGTACAAAACAAAGAAACTGTGCAAAACATCTAGATACATTTCTTTAGTCAGGACTAGTGCATTGGATGACAGAGGGAGTGTAAACCTTACCCTTCTCTGAAGAAGAGAATTACTTTTCCCAGCACTGTAACAGCATCAAAAGAGGCAGAAACTGCCTGCAATTCCTTTCATTTCATGTTAAGTAGATTGTCCTTTAAGAGTTATACAGAATGTTCCATACAATGCTTGTATCACTTTCACATTGTCCTTTGGCAAACAAAATCCAAATGAAGACTGGTATTTTTAAGTAGGATACATGAAAGCAGATGGATCAGTTGGATGGCTGAGGCCCAGAGCACGTCCAAATTCATGGACAGCAACAGTGAATAAATTAAATCCTAAATTATTAAAACCAACCCACAGGTATTTCCATTATGGACAGATGATTGTATTTCTTACCATCTGAGGGTTAGACATCAGGTTTCTGAGTTTACACTGGTTTTCAGAAAAGGTAAAATTTTTCTATATCTCAGAAGACCAAATTTGGTGAACATTTGCAGAAACTTGGAGGAGATAGTAACAATCTGTGCAAGTGGTGATATTTGTGTCCTTGGGAATGCATTCATTTGGGTCAGTGATCTATGGCTGGAGTTGGACCTATCTGGTAAACTGAAGGAGAAATAGTGTGAGATTTGGCTCCTAGATTATTTAGATGAGACAATCTATATGGATGCTGAAATTAGGCAGATGAGAGCTGAGCTCTGGGGCAGATTAGAAAAAAGATAGTCCAGAACACTGAAGATCCTGAGGTTTGGCAGAGAGGACTTGCAGGCAGCAGCTTGTCAGATGCCTTGGACATCTTGGTTGTTGTTTTGACTAGAGACCAAGTGACATGGTAATAGAAGACACTAGTCTTAAGTTTGCCTTGTAAAGAAGGATTTTATAGAGCGTGGTTGGACAAACAGCAGGCATTGAACAGGATGTCCCATGGCAGTAGATTTCAGTGGCACTATCAAGCAAACCGACCCACACAGGACTGAGATGATTGAGAGGATATGCTCTCAAAAAACCTATTATGAAGCAGTGGAATATCCAGAAAAAAAGGATTTGCAATATTTTACAGGGTTTTATGGTTGGACCTTTGACTTCTAACTAAGGATCAGGGTTGTTTTCCTTATTAGCTCCCAAAAGAAAGATTACTAAAACCTGGATGTGCTATCAGAGCACCCTGAAGGGGAAAGGATTGCGTGAGACCCAGATGGATGACAGACAACCTATCAGGTGGGAGCAAAACCTGATGATATAAACAAGAAAGCAGGGTCGGGCATGTCATGCTTATCCCCATGAGTGTGGCAAGCCATCAAAGTGCAAAGAGCAATCACTGACTATTGCTGTACTGATAAAATAAATAGGCCTGGAACCACTCTTATCTAAAATTATCTTTCAAAACAGGGCAGGTACATGCAGACTGCTTTTTGAGGAAATTATTTGAATTGTACTGTCTCCCAAATCATGTCCAAATGCTAGTTTGTCAAGGACAAAGCTGTGCCAGGGACAAAGTTAATGATTTAATAGCATAGATTATTACTTCTCTGACACTGCTTAATTTACTCTATTGAAGACAAGGAACCAGTATGTCCCACAGACATTTCAGGATTTTTCTCCTCAATACTACAAGCTGATAAATGTTCCAGCACTGATCTTGCAAAGCTCTTCAGGATGGGCTTAGCATTAAAACCTCATGAACAATCACTCATATTAGGGTGATACAGCCTCCTGTCACACAACAGGGAAACAGTTCTCCAGTGGCTCCTTAGCAAAGCACAACAATAAGCAACATAATGGGTTTCATTATGTTGCTTTATGTTTCATTATGTTACACAACTTATATACATGTGTTGATCCTCAGTGGCCAGCAGTAAAAACTGTGGATTGTGTTATTTTATTAAATTATTGTCACAGATAATGATGGATCAAATTTTGTTCTCCCACCTCCTGGTACACAATGATAGGTCAGAAATAACTCTTTCAGGATTTACTGAGTTAGTCCAGTTTTGAAAGAGTGACATTAGATCCTTTTCTTTATACTTGTTTCAATGAGTTTTCTTGGGATTAAGGTTTATCAGTCTGTTCATGTAGTATCCACTTTCCAAACTGACCTCAAATTTATCCCCTAATAAAGGATTTCACGTTTCATACTTCCACATTTTGAACTGTTCTAACATCCCACATTGTTATGCTGTTTCTCCTCAGGTAGCTCAGGAATAGACTGGTTTCTGGATGTAAATTTCAAGGATTGTTTCATAGCAAGTCCTTGAATCTGCAAAATTTGTAAGCTATTTCCATGTACCGTTTGTTCCCATGGTCCACTTCTCTGCACTGTCAAAATGATTGTCCCCTACCAGTCCTTCACTGGGGCAAAAGCATGTGCCAGGGTCCCATGTGGGCCATCAAAGGGATAAGAGCCATGGTGATGTACCAAATAATAGCAGAAGAAAGAAAAAGAAACCCCCACTACACAGGGTTTCAGAAACTCTATCCTTAATGAATACTGAGGCACTGCTTTCTTGAAAGGAAATATAACCAAGCATCAGCCTAGGAAGCAGATAATGAGAGAAGGTGCCTTTTCACAGCTGTGACCATGAACAGCAACTGAAAGACTTCAGTGAAAAGGAATCATTTAGACACTTTTGGGAAGGAAATTGAGGATCAGATTTAGAAAAGAGGTCATATCTTCAGTAGTGCAAAGACAATGATTCATGCCCACTTAGAGCATTCAGCTGAAGGGATAAGGCTGTGCAGTGCCATGAAATAGTGTTACAGCATGGTTCTGATGCAATTTAAAGTCCCTTTCTCATCCCAAGTAATTAACTTATGATTTCAATGTGTTATGCATTCTGTCCCATGGCTTTGCCTCTGTAGTTAGGAAGGGATAAGTCTGACATCAGCTTTGGTTTTAGTATCATTCACTGTGACCAAAATTCATTTGCAGCATTCCACTTTACACAAGGTACCAGGAGAGAATGAAGCTCTCTGAAGCACTTTTTTTTTTTTTCTATAGACATTGATAGAGCAACCAGATTAAACCAGTGTAATCACAAAATACAGAGCTTGTCCTGTATGCTGATGAAAGTGGGAAGCTTTTTTGTTCTGTTCTACACAGAATGTTGCCTTTTCCCCATCCCTCCCCTTTCTAGCTCTTGTCCTGGGAAGTTGTGACCATGATGACAGAGGAGCAGGATTCACAGTCCAAGGCTGGTCCTTCTGTTGGGTACCAGGATGTGGTCCAGGGCTGTCTTCCTAGCTCTGATCTTTGCAAAAGGTCCCTTAACCTGCCATGGAGAGTATTCAACCCCATGACATGACATAGAGGACGTACCAAGTCTCCTTTTCTTTACAGTGTCCAGTTTGCCAGCTTCCTTGTAGGTAAACATAGCATGATATTTCATCATCAAGCCCCATAGTTAGTGTAATCTAGCCGTGAGCATGGGGCTGAAAGGCAAGGCCACTGAGTCAACTGAGTTGTAAATATAGGTAAGTCTATACTGACTGAAGGAACTAGACCTGATAAATTATTTTCTTTATATGATTTTAATTTGCATTGGGTAAGCTCTGTGTTTCAATTTGCTATGCATTATTTAGTGTTAGCATTGTGGTAATGCTGAAGAGTTCCTGTAATGAATCAGGGCCCATCTTGAAAGATGGTTTAAAAACAGTGTAAAAGCCCAGAAGAGGAAGGTGGCTTCAGGAGCTTTCCTGTATTCTTGTGTGTCAAAACAGTGCGATTCTTCCTAGAAGACCAGTAATTTAATACTGCCAAAAGCTAAAGATCAGTAAAGTTACCTTTTTCTCCGGCTATTCCCCTTACCCCGTGCAATGCTTTATTCTAATTCAGCTGTTAACGAGATTCAGGCATTTGTGGGGACCGGTGGGGCCCTTTCATAATCTGACATCTAGTGGCAGCTTTGTGTAATAGTAACGAGATAAAAAAGCCGGAGAATGTCAGAAATATACCATGGGAAAATTTTAGCCATTAACATATCATGACATTTCATTTTGTGATAGCCAACCTATCTTTTTAAATTTGCAGTCTTCTTAATGTAATGCAATGCACTTAGTGGTGCAGTAACAAGTTTGTCCTTCTCACTGAAACAGCCCAAGAATTGCTCATTTGAACTTGCATTGTGCTCTTTTATAATACAGTCTTCCCTTAATTCTAAGTACTAGTAATTTCTGGAAAAATCATAGAGACTTATTACAAAGTCCTCACTGACTTTATAACAGAGATAAAAGATTTGAAATACAAATAGGAGACAACAGTGATAAAAATTAAAAGATGTTAATGGTGCTTTTAAATCATCCAAGCGATGCCTACTAATTTTCAAAGCCAGAAAACCCACAACTCATGCCCTGTGCATTCATGTATTCTTTTCCCATTTGGGCTCTCCTGGAAAGAGCTGGTAGTTTGCTATGTCAGGAACACCACACCATGGTCTCTGAGTCATGCTCATAGTGCTATTGTCCACATTCCTGGTCACCTAAACACCTAGGAATGCCTGCATGTCTCTAAGATTCCTTGTCATGCAGCTGCTGTCGTCTCCACAGCCTGATGCCTTCCCTTTCATGTGTAATACTCAACAAGGTACTCCTAAAATCCAGAAAAAATCAAGCAAATATTGCTCATTTACTTTTCAATGTTTTGATTGACATAAATGGAATATTTTCCACAATTTGTATTGTATGAAATGCTGATTAAAAAAATAATGTAGCTGAACATATGGTTAGTAGAAAAGTCTGGCAATGAAAACTGGGCACTTATTAGGATAAAAAGAGTATAGTTTATTTATACTGAAATTAGGTCTTCTGCTGAAATAAGGTTCAATTCAGAATGAAAGGAAATTGTAATTTTGGAGTTTTCTATGTTAACAAACATTCAGGTTTTGACAAGCATAGTTTATTTGCATGAGCTATCTCTAAGGCAAATAGAAAGTTGGCAAAGAAGTCTAAACAATAACTTCATTCTAGTCTGTAGAGTGATTACTATTTTGTAGATGATTACTGCTCAGCTTTTCTATTTCAAATACACAGATCTGAAGAGGTAGAAGGGAATTGATGTGTATCTGTAGAATTGTTTAAGAAAAAGGCAAGGAGATAGCAGAGATTACACGGAAAAAACATGTGACATATCTGAGAATAGCTGGACCACAACATGAGCACATCCTTGATGATAAGCAGTCCTATAGACATCTTTCTTTAGATGCCTAAGTCTGATCTAAAGACTGAGGCAAGGTAGCCCCAAGAATGATTCACCTTATCCTAAGACAGGCATCCTGTGAAAAGCAGTTTCATCTAGGATGATCAGATGAATCATCATCCGGAAGAACCTATCTCTTTCAATCATCTGTGAAAAAAGTCTATGCTTGCGTAATCCCAGAAGTTGTTGGTTGTTTGGGGTTTTTTTTAATTATTATGCATTAATTTGCCAACATGCAGGCATCTAGTGCTTTTTGAGGTTTCTTAGAGTAGCTTGCCTGGCTGTCAGCTGCAGTTCTGGAAAGTTGTGGGTCTTCTGAAGACTTTGGGCCCTGCATCATATCTGCCAGGTATATACAGATATCTTGGATACCCTGTAGTCAGTGGCACTAAATACTTGCACTTGGGCAACTTAATTAGTTGCCCCAGATTTAAGTTAGATGAATCTGCTGTGCATCTCGCTGTAGCTCAGCTTTCTTCTACTTAGACAGCTTGTGCAGTTATGATCTTCAACAAGGAGGTTGGCGGCACGAGGCTCTTTGCACTGAAGGGCCCTTCTCCTCTCCTCATGTTTTACTGAAGTAGCTTCCAAGTGTGATAGGTTACACACCTCATCTCTCCTTCCACGTTTGTAGTGGAAAAAGACTGAAAACAGCACAAGCATGTGGGATCTCATTGCTCAGTGAAGACTGGTGCTGAGCTGGTATTTGTCATCGTAAGGTGACAGGTGTGCTGAGAGTGAAAGGATATTCTGAACATAGCTAATGGCCAAGTCCCAGAAAAAGAACTGCTGCTTGGGTGTACAAATCTAAATCAGTAAATGCACAGCTGAATACAAGCACGACATGAAATCCAGTTAAATCGCTCGGAGTTTGGCCAGCGTCCTGGTTTCAGCTAGGATAGAGTTAATTGTCTTCCTAGAAGCTGGTATGGTGCTATGTTTTGAGTTCAGTATGTGAAGAATGTTGATAACACTGATGTTTTCAGTTGTTGCTAAGTAGTGTTTAAAGTCAAGGATTTTTCAGCTTTTCAAGCCCAGCCAGCAAGAAAGCTGGAGGGGCACAAGAAGTTGGCACAGGACACAGCCAGGGCAGCTGACCCAAACTGGCCAACGGTGTATTCCATACCATGTGACGTCCCATTTAGTATAGGAACTGGGGGGACTGGGGGCGGGGGATCGCCGCTGGGGAACTAACTGGGTGTCAATCAGCGGGTGGTGAGCAATTGCACGGCCCATCATTTGTACATTCCAATCCTTTTATTATTACTGTTGTCATTTTATTAGTGTTATCATTATCATTATCAGTTTCTTCTTTTCTGTTCTATTAAACCATTCTTATCTCAACCCACGAGTTTTACTTCTTTTCCTGATTTTCTCCCCCATCGCACTGGGGGGGAGGGGAGGGAGGAGTGAGTGGGTGGCTGTGTGGTGCTTAGTTGCTGGCTGGGGTTAAACCACAACAGCCAGCCATAGTGCTCACTGGTATAGCAAGTTAGGTAATTAGAAATCAGTTGTACCATAGCATACCCTGTGATTTGCACAGGCCCTTGTCCAGCAGTAGCACAGGAAAGATACTGCTATTATTTCTACTACGTATTTTGTCAAAAGAGTGAGGTAAACTTACTACTGTGCATGGAGATAAACTTATTACTGTACATGATAATGAAACAAGACCTTAGCGTCTTTATTAGGTATCATACGATACTGGCAGTTCCAGCTGCCAGCCAAGCAGTTGTACAGATAAATAGTTTGGTTTTATTGCTGAAGGATGAGAAATTAACTTAGTCTAAGAGAGAGGATTAGGAACCACTCTGTTATACACACCAATGGCACATAGCTGTGCTGTGTCATAGAGTATTCAGTGTACAAATAGAAGCAGCCTGGTATTTCTCTTACAACATCAGCTCTGCTTTGGTGACTAGCAGTAGGTGTAGAGACCAGGTTTTAAGCAGTTTATGACTCCTTGAGCACAGTTCCTGGCTGCCCATGCTGAAGGAGGGAAAGGCTCCCAGAAGAGGCAGCTGCAGGACATATCTGCAGATAAACTGCTTTTTCTTGGTGTTGCAGAAGCAGATCAAAATGAATGCCCTCAATCGGCAAATATATTTCATTTAGGGAGTTAGATAAATCATCTTTGTTACTTGCCCATGAGTATAATGAGTAGATGTTGTGTTCACAAAGCAGTGAGTTCTATGCATATGCAAACAAGAGAATGACTTGCCTGGAAACACTCTTTGTAATGAATAATATAGCGGCCTGAATCCATTTCCACTGTGGAACTGAGTGAATACTCTAAAGAGGAGCTCTAGGACTTTGCTTTAGTGAGCTTTCCTGTCTGCCAACCTTCAACAAAGACCAAAACATGGTTTATTACAGGACCTCACAGTTAGTGGTCTATTTAAAGTGTGTAGTCACAGACTATTCTTTTTTTTTTTTTTTTTTTGTCTGTTTTAAGAGAATTTGCAGTGATTTCTTTTTTTTCTCATAATTTTAGCCTCTTAACAGCAAGTGTCTGTCATGTGTGGTAACTCTAAGGAGTGCTATGAAATTTTGGACTGTTGTATGCTTTATGTGGTTTGTGTATACCTTCATCCCAGGAATGCTCCATGTTTAATATCCCATGTTTCATTTCAGACAACATATTTATTTCCTTTATTACAAGCATGGAACTAAGAACATAAAAATATTATTTAAATGACAAATACAAATGAATGTACCCATATTTTAGCAACAATACTCTATATGTTATCAAGTTACTATTTCATGTGATAGTTGTGTTTATTCTCTGTGTTTATAGTTGTTTTATTCTCTTGTACTTCATCTTACTCTTCTAATAATAAAGCCTTATTACACTGAAAGGGAGATGGGGAGACCCCTTCTATAAATGCCTGTGTTTAGATACCCATGCTCCTCCTCCTGCCACACACCTTCAGGCCCTCATCTGCAGTAATCCTCAGTGCCCTCCTTTGTCACCTTCCTATTTTCCCAGCAACGTGGGTTAGGTTTGCAGTGGAAAACAAAAAAATATATAATGAATCTAAACCAATTGGGAAGGGACTGATAATCATTGTGGCACTCAAGTCTTGAGAAAGAGAAGGCATTGGTCATGAATTGGGGTGAATATGAACTCTGTCAAGTTGCCCTATCTGTGTCCCTTGAAGGGACAAGGATATCATCCATCCAATGATCATAACAGAGTTATGCTTTGTATGCTTGCCAAGACAAGAATTCTGAGGTTTAGTTTTTCAGACTTACATGCAGATTTTTGGAAGGGAAGGAGCTCTGTTTTGCAGTTTTTTTGTTACATGGGTAACAAGTACTAGCTACAGATGTCTAGATTACACTCTGAATTAGTCTGTCTAATTACACTATGGAGAATGTATTCGTTATTGTATCTCAAGCCTGATCATGACCCTGGGAGCTCTAAAGTTACAGAAATCTTCATGAAAACCCTGTGATTTGTCAATGGTGTTCCGCCTTCTGCTGATTTTCTTGTGATTAAGCATGGTGGGTAGGGCTATGCAGGTGATTTTGAAAAGGAGCTTCCAAATCAGCCCATACCTTGGCCAAAATCAGGGCAACTCTGTGGTTCAGCCAGGTTTTGCCCAAAAGAGTGCAAGCTTGGTGGGAAGGGGGAGTAGATGCCACATGACATGAGCCTGGGGCTTGCTGTGCCAGACTGCAGGAACAGGGACATTTCTGCCTGGTGGTGATGGGGAAGCCCCAGCTGCCCCAGGGCAGAAGCAAGGTCCTGATGTTATGTTACAAGAAGCCATTTTGGTGCTTCACAAGTTACAAGAGTCTTTTTATTTAAATGTGAAACTCCAAAAGCCAAACAGAAAAAAAAAAGGATTGTATAAGGAGAAGGGCAGGACAGCAAGGTACTGACTGGACACAATCCATGAAAGAAGTAGGTCACATCTTGGACCCAGTAATAACTTCTAGAGAGAGGTCTGATAACCTGGGATGAGTGAATGGCCACGGGAATGTGGAAGCTACATAAGGATTCCCTAGTAGGTTTCTTACATAGATTTCAGTGAGCAGCTTCTCTTTTCTTTGGCTCTCTTCCCTTCTGTGTAAAACTGAGCAACCCTTTGATTTTCCAGCAGGGTTATAAGAGAAGATTCAGCTAGCACTTCCACACCTGGTTAATGACACAGTTGTTGTTCTTCTGGCTTTAATTTTGGACAGAGAATAACCTTGCAAGCATGGCCCTGAAATGAAGCTGTGGGATTTCAGATAGCCACAGGCAACCCATCTGGGGCAGTGCCTGTGCATGCAGACTTCAGGTCTCCTTATTTCTCCTCCCAGTGCATATTGGTTTTACCTGCTTAGCACCTATGTGTTACACTAAATGTTTGCTCCTGCCAG